TAGGATGTAGGTGTGTAGCTCGATTCAGAACACATGGTATCCCAAGACCTCATCTTCACGCATGGTCCCTATACCACCTGCATCTGACTACCCATACCAAATCCCAACCTCTAAAAGCCTATGCAAGCCCTAGTGCCGAGAATCCTGAGCTCCAGACCTACGAAAGCCTATATCTAGGATGCCCAGTAGCACCCTTATCCCTTTTCTTGGGGGGTTAGGTTCCCTCATAAAACCCCTTGAAGCAAAAAGAGGCACCTTTTCAAATCCTAGCTTACTAGGCAACCTAGATATCATCAACCTTTCAAAAGGGTACCCTAAAAGTTGGGGGGGGAGGGGGGTGGGGGGAGAGGCGTAGGTCAGCCCCTCCACCCTGAGCCCTAAAAACCCGAACTTTGCCCAACAAAAACAAAAAACTCAAACCTAAAGCCCAAACCCTAAACCCTAAACACCCCCAGAGGAGGCATCGACCACAGGAATTGTGCCGGGGAGCCCATGGGCTTGGGGTTTAGGGTTTAGGCTTAGGGCTTAGGGCTTGGGGCTTGGGGCTTAGGGCTTAGGGCTTAGGGCTTGGGGCTTAGGGCTTAGGGCTTAGGGCTTAGGGCTTAGGGCTTAGGGGTTAGGGTTTAGGGTTTAGGGTTTAGGGTTTAGGGTTTAGGACGCGGCGCATGAAGCGGGAAGAGCGGGACCCTCCCGAAAGTTGAGTTGGGTAGTTGCGGGGTCGGATGGCTTCCTCGACTGTGTGGACATGCTGACTTGCACACGCCCCCCACCCCCCCGACCCCCCCCCCCCTCCCGTCCGAAAGTATCATGGCTTCGGTCTCGAACCACAAACCTCAGACCCGTAAACTTAAGGCCCAGGCATTGCAACCCCAAACCTCAAACCCTCACCCCCCGCCCTCGCCACAAACCCTAAACCCCAAACCCCCGCATGCAAACCCCCAAGCCCCAAACCCTAAACTTTTAAAGCCCGGGCCCTTATTCCCTTCTTTTACGGTTTAGGCTCCCTTATAAGCCCCTTTAACCCAAAAAGCCGCCCTGTTACTCTTGGAAACCCGGCCTCACCAAGAGACTTTGACGTATTCCATGCACCTTCCAGAGGCACTTCCGGATGTTTTCAAGCTCTCCAGTTCATCTAGGCCCTAAACCCTAAACCCTCAACCCTAAACCCTAAACCCTAAACCCTGTTCAGGGGGTTCGGGGTGCGATTTTCGGACCCAAGTAGAGTCCTACGTCTAAAGAGATTTCATCCAACTGGACCCTAAATTGCCCAGGGTTTTCGGGGGGCTTTAGGGCTTGTTTATGGTTTAGCGTTTTTGGTTTTAGGGTTTTGGGGTTTTGGGAGGGTTTGTGGACTTTGTAAAGCTAACAGGGATTGCGTATGCTGTATAGGGTTTGGAGGGATTGTATGGGTTATGATGCTTATAGGGTCTACAGAACTCCGGCTTGACCCCATAAACCCTAAATAGGGTTTAGGGTTTAGGGTTTAGGATTTAAGGCAAAACCTTAAACCCTGCGCATGGGGTTTCTGGGCTGCAGGCGCGGGCTTCATCGACTAGGCTTATAGGAGTTTTACAGGGTCCACCAGGCTTAGATAAGGCTTCCAGGGCTTGTGGTGTTTGCAGGTGTTTTTTTGGTTTTTGTTAGCACAGTGTTTCGGGCTTAGGCGAAAACCCCACCGTTGCTTCAAGCTTGGGGGTTGAGCTGGATGTCGCGAGTGTTCGGTTCAGCCTTAAACCCTGAATCCTGAGCCGTATAAACCCCAAACCCCAAACCCCAAACCCTAAACCCTAAACCCTAGACCCTAGAACCCCTGAACCGCCCTGCCCAGGTCGGTGCAACCTTGGCTGGCGGAGGTGCCTCAGAAGCTGCGCCCTGAGCCATGAACCCCAAACCCCAAGCCCTAAACGCCAAACCCTAA